CAGATTGCTGCACTACCTGTTGATCTGCACGCCCACCATTAAACGCATTATTTGTGTTTTGTGTTGTTGCCCCCAGATGGCAGGAACGTCAGCCAACTACCTAAAAATTGGACCAACAGCATGTCCAAATTTTAGAACGCAGTTTCACAACTCGTATAATTGAATAACTCGTATAACTGAATAAATGTCAATTCCTCAAGAATATTATCAACAGACTTGCTCAATTTCTGCATTCACCCCAGCAGCCATACGTAAATATAGCCTCTAGACGTGTGCACAGCTTTTTTTCTTTATTTACAGCAATGCAATTAAGAGAATTTTCGCAGCTAATTTTACATGGCAAGGAGGGCTGGTGTGCAGTTTGCTCAATTAGAGACAATGGTGCAACACGTGTTATCCAAAATTTTTACTACAAAACAACCATGTGTGATTATCAAGGGTGCCTTATATACATGTTACATACATGCAACGTAAATAGACTAAACTTTGCTTTTTTCTCAGGCTGTTAAAAATTTTTGCTGATCAAGCTGCACTTGATGTTTCACTCATCGAAGGTCACAAGTTTGTGGAAACTAACGGCAGTAGGCAGAACGATACACAACATCTGTCATCTCCACAACGCTTTGTCTAAAACAAAGTATGCCTTCTGCACGTATCCTCCACGTTTCAGTCGATTTGCAAACGGTCAGCAAGTTACTTGCACAGCTTTAATAACAAATACTGTTTTTCGGACTGGCTAGTTTTTGAGGAAGATAATTATTAAACACAACACGGTGCCAGAAATTCTCTTGTACAATGCATTGTTGCAGTAACACCAACAATTCTCTATGCAGTATTTGATATTCAACTTTATCGCAATAAACCAACTTATGCTATACCTCTAAAAAATAAGTGCTCAAGTTTCTTGGAAACATATGCCAATTAAACTAGAGCTGTGTTTGTGGAATGCGACATTTGTGTAGGGCTACAATCTGAAGAACTGAAAGACTGGAAGAATACACAAACAAGGGTGGCGTGGCAGGGAGCTTTCACAAATGAGCTTGTAGTGATGCAGATTTTAACGGCTGTAGATCAAATATAGTTAAAAGTTCACTGACAAAGCATATAGCAAAGATAAAATAAATTTTGCAACTTCTATTTTTTTTTCTCCTTAGAAGTGGCCCAGTTAAAATGCATCAAAATACTAGACATGGCACCAGCAAACGGTGTTGCACATTATTTGAAGAAGAGCAGTAATGGGGGCCAGTTGATTATACACTGTCTCGCATAGTGCTTGGGTCAGACCGGTCACACCATAACACAAGGCACAAAACAGCATTTGTTTATTTTCGGAAATTACTGTCACACTTACGAATACATAAAAAGCTCCAAAATAATCAGCAGCTTGCATTTCGTGTTATGCAGTGTCCAGTTGATACAAGTACGTTAAAGCACCATCACCCAAGGCCATGGTATGAACCTCTGCTAGAAAGCAGATATCTTTCAGATGTTCAAATCTGGTTTCAAACAAACTTGACATACTAGTTACAGAACCAAAAAAAAAAGGGGGGGGGGGGGGGGCACAACTTTTAGCTATACAAGGACGACACCAGAAGGACGTATCAAGTGTGCTCCAGTCAAGAACAGTAGTGCCGATGTACAAAAACATGCAAAATGTAATGACCCAGTGGAAAACTCCTGTTTAATATGGATATCTGTGGTGCACACCAGTTTTAACTAATCAAAGCATGATACAAGAGCGTACTCACAGTAACGCAAGAAGCAACGATCGAATAGACTTCATGCAAGATTGCTGCCATCTGTCAGCCGGTGAGCGCATGTCGTCATGTTAGAGGCTCAGCACGGCGCAGTATGCACAGTCCACGAGGAAGAACGAGATGTACACACATGAGGCACGTATTGGCTGATAATCTGATAATTGCAACGCCGACGTATTGCTGCATCCCTTGCTGCAAACACAGGGGAACTAATTGCATAAATAAAAAAGGTAACCGCAAACAATGCTTATTTTTTGAAGCTGATGTTTCGAGAATGTGCTCCGGCTACTGCTCCTCTTTCTAAGCAAATTAAGACGTGCAATAGCATTTGTACTTTTCTTCCCACAAATTGCCACACACTGAATTAAGGCAGCTTTTGCAATGTTTCCACTATCAACTGTTTACCAAGCGAAGGCGACTCGTACGCTTTATGCAGAAGCCACCTTCACACAACGAGCTTTATCACAGCTAATTGCACGTGCCCATATTTCGTTGAATGTGCCCAGCACATCAAATGCTCAAAAAACGTGCGCAGTCATGCGCAAGTCATCTCATTAAACGGCGGCTTGTCACACTCCAGAAGAGAGAATGTAACAACATGAAGCAAGCTTTAGCACCGTTGCTCCCTTCCCAGAATGAATTCAGCATGTGCCGTTAGGCAAACTTAACAAGGAAAACACAAACGTAATGTAGGCACGCACAATTAGCTGCAATAATGTTCGTTGCGTGAAGGTGGCTTCAGCGTGAAGTGTACGAGTCTCCTTCACTAGGTAAACAGCTGCTAGCGAAAACATTACAAAGGCTAACTTTCACATGCAGCAATTTGTAGGAACCCAAATACAAATTTATTATAAAAAAGAACACAATGACGTGTTTCGGGAGTATATAGCAAGAGCACATGCTGACCGTCATCAGCATGTAAAAATAAAGGACAAAGTTTACGGCTTAGCTCTTTTTCTTCAGCATTTCGACTTCCTCTCAGTGTGCTACCAGAGACCCAGCCATAAGTTGGCATTGTGATTATCAGCCAATACACGGCTCATGTCCATATGCTTTACGTATCATCATCATCAGTCTGACTACGTCCACTGTCCTGTACTTGCTGCTGCCACTTCCTAACCTCATCTACCCACCCAACTTTCTGTCTTCCCTCAACTTCGCTTGCCTTCCCTGGGAATCCAGTCAGTTACCCTTAATGACCAGCAGTAATCCTGCCTATGCGCTACATGCCCGGCCTATGGCCTTACGTATACATCCATGTAAACACATGCTGACATGCACGGACTGTGCTTACTACGCCGCACTGAACCTCTAAAATGGTGGCTATGCACAATGGCCGACAGCTGGCAGCAATTTTGAATAAGGTCTATAAGCTTCTGGGGAGTTCTTTCTTAATGATTTTCCTGCCAGACTTCACCATTCAAAGTTCTAGCTGCACTATCAAGGCTGCTTTGTCTACAATTATCACCAAAGAAAATCAGCACTCTGAAGAAGCAACTGCAAAGCATGGGCTCACAGGTTCAACTTTATATTTAATCACACGTTTAACTATAGTTTACCATCTTGATTAGACAACGCACTGTCGCACCATGTTTGTCGATGGCAGACAGGTTGCTTTGTCAATCAGATACTGGCCTTGACACCCTTCCGTCAACATATGGCTGATGAGAACGACAGTAGTAGCGGGAGACTAGGGGAAATTTTGCCCACTTGTAGTGATAAAACGAAAGCCCGAGGGTAGGTTCAGCGTTTCTTACCACCACCGAAGTGAAACCACCGCAGGTTATCGAACCTGAGACCTCGTGCTTAGCGGCAGGGCTCTACAAAAACCGGATATCGCATAGCAAATGGCAAAGAACGAAATGACTACGGAATTGCCACAGAGACAACTAACAAGTGGCTTCTGGTTCGACACGCCCGAAAGCGCCAGCGAAACCGCCCCAGACGAGAAACATTCGCAAAAGAAAGAATGCGGCGCAACATGTCTAACCATTGCCTCCAACTAAACACACCGCAGTCAACACATACCATCACGCACGGGTAGTCCCGAGTGAGTTTTTCGTTCGCAGACAGGAAGCTGCCACAAAAGCGACGTCGCCCGCAGCAACTATGCGGCGTAGCTAGGAGGCGGTGTCTGTGAAAACAGCTTTTCGCAAGACGGGTCAACGCTCAGTGCACACACACATGCGCTGGATGACAACGCGTAGTGCAGCTGACACCGTAGTCGTAGCACGACACGCCTCCAACATCGCAAAGAGTAGTGTACGGGCGAAATACGCAACCACAGGAAAAAACATGGCAAGCCCATACTGACAAACTCGAAATGCCGGCCGGCGTTCGCTACAACGCTCGAGCGCTTTCAGAACATTGCTAAGCCAAAGAGCGGGTGCTCTGTTACAAAAAAAAAAAAAAAAAAAAGCCTGAATTTCACCAGAAGCTTTAGGGCGGTGAAACGAAGTACGGGGATGTTGACGCGCTCGCGAAAGTGACGAGCTACAGCGGGAGCGCTTAGGCAACGTCGCGATGATAGCGAAACGTCAAGCCCAAGAGCGAGTGGTACCGCAAATACCCGACGACACGGCCTCGACAAAATACAGCGACCAACTTACACGGCCGCAGTTGTGAGACACCCAGACTCGAGACACGTCCCATGCAGGTAGGCCTAACATGCTTTTCCCCCCAACTCCTGAGTGCCACGGCTGCTGAACGAAGTGCGGACGCCTGTCGAGCGTACCGCCGAGCTTACCTTGAGCGAAGTGTCCGCCGAATTTGTCGTGTCATCGGTGCCGTCTTGAAGAGTCATCATCACGGCGGGATGACGAAGCAGACAGCCACCACGATCTGTCGCGACGAGTGGGGACCGCTCAGCGCTGCCGGTCTGCTGTGTTCGAAAACGCCCACTCACACCCCCCGCCGGTGTCACATGGCCCAATCGTCCGGCGCCAGATAGGAGTACGCGAGGATCTACAGGTGCTTCGAGTCCGGCGAACGGCGTCTTCCGTGAAGGCGCTCGAGAATGCAACGCAAGCGGAGGACCATCCACGAAACCTACGAGGCAACGAAGTTTCTGGCTTTGGCTCTTCCAAAGCAACGGTTTTCAGCTCACGCCCAACAATTGAAAAACAACAAAATATGCTTTATTCAGAGTAGTCGACAATTTCATTGCTTTGTATAACACGCTCTTCGCAACCAGCATACGCCAGTTAAGTTTTAGGCAAAGAAATCCGCAGTGGAACGACCGTTTTTCGACGCCTAGAAGGCTGCAAGAAAAACGGAGAAAAGGAACAACCGCGCTCTCTGCCAGCGGCCTCTCGCGAGTCAACACGATGCCGACTCGATCCGGAAGGCTATTCGCTTCAATCCAAGCATGATCCAAGCCGCAGTCGAGCCGAATACAACTGTCGACGAGTGTCGATCGTGACGATATTCCGGTGTGGTGGAATTGTATGCTTTGTTCATTCGACTATCACAGCCCTTATTTGGTGGAATATCTACTGATACAAGCTACCAGCCCATTCGCAGCGTTCAAAATACGGCGGAAGGCAACTCCTCCTCTTCAGTGTGTACGCTCGACGCTGTGCCGTGCTCGTTTTTGGGGCTTCTAGATCCTTTCCTCGACTCTACCTTGTCGCTCTGCGTGGCCTGAGCTGCTCAGCCGTCAGCCATGGGCAAAAAGCGTCCCAGGCCCGAGCCGGAGAAGAAGGAAGAAGAGATGGACCGGCCTAGCACTTCTAAGGAGCCTTCGACTAGCTCCAAGCAACCTTCGGCGCAGCAGCAGTCTCAGTCTTCGTCGACTTCAACAAAGAGCAAGCCTAGAGTTTGGAAGAGCCTGAAGCAGGTGGTGACGGCCTGAGCGCCTGCAACCGGGAGCGTACGCAGCGCTCGAGGCGGCACCATCGCTGCGACCCTGGCGCAAGTACTCTGACCTGACGGGCCTGGTGGCGCCATACACAGACCCCAAGACCAAGCTGCGCTATGCCAACAAACACGAGTACGCACGACTGCGGCTGCTCAGCGCGGACCAGGTCAACGGCTATCTGGTGCTCAGGAGGGCCGCGCTGCCCGTAACGTAGTCTAGGCTTGATGACCGTGCACCTCGCCGATTCCTGGCAGCTTGACGTCGAACCTGCGGTGTTGACCGTTTGCCCGTACTTCTAGAATGCTCGACTTACCGGACTGGTCTCGCGTGGGATCGGCCGACGAAAGCAGTCGTTTTGTTTTGAAACCGTGTCTCATCACACCGCTCGCAGTTGCATGCGCGTACTAATCTTGGAGATGGAGTGTCTCGCATTTTGAGCGTTGTGTCTTGAATTCTTTTTGGCCTGCTGCAAATACATGTTTGCCACCATTACTTGTCAGTGCGTAAATAAATAGGAGATGTAGCGCATATGCATCTGCTACCAAAGACAGATGCTGAATGTGTATGGGAGGATTTTCAGAACTTCTATTTGTCCGTTCTATCTCATGCAGTCAATGCAAAACACCACCCAATGCTAGTATAGAAAATGGCTTTTATTCACCTGACGAGTTCGCCATCAGTTTACTTCGTAAAGTTGTCGGTGTTGACATTCAGATCACATTAACTCTGAAGTTTGAAAGAACTGAGAGTGCGGGGCCAAGAACAATGAACGAGGAAAACCCACGCAACAGGAGTGCTCTTCCTCATGTGGTTCTTGCTTGCCTGTTCTCCTTGGTCCTGCACTCTCAGCTTTTTCAATCTCTGTGAATGTCCAACTTCCCACTTATCTAGTATTTCGCAATGCAGAGGCTTTTAATCTACGTACAACACCACTTCAATGCCTTTTTTTCCAGTTGGTTGATATGCCTCATCATCATCATCAGCCTGACTATGTCCACTGCTGGACAAAGGCCTCTCCCATGTTCCACCAGTTAACTTCGTCCTGTGCTTGCTGCTGCCAATTTATACCCGCAAACTTCTTAATCTCATCTGCCCACCTAACCTTCTGTCTCCCCCTAACCCGCTTGCCTTCTCTGGAATCTAGTTAGTTCCCCTAATGACCAGCGGTTAATGTACCTACGAATGCATGAAGTTGGATCTCTTAATGCCCAATGACAATTTCAGCGCTCCTTGTTTTGAGGCATATGTTACTTTGCAATCCAATTGTCTGGTGTGATGCAAGTATGATGGCAACACTTCAGTTAAACATGTATCACATAGATATGTACATAATTCACCATGCACAGCCAGTATGCTATCCTGCCACAGAGGTCTAGTGGTTGGGGTGCTCAATGTCCGACTTGCAGGTTGTGGGATCGAAGCCAGGTCATGGTTGCCTCATTTTCAGTGGAGTCGAAAATGCTCGTGGCCCATGTACTTAGATTTAGGTGCACAATGAACCCCAAAAGGTCAAAATTTTCAGAACCCTCTTCTAGGCGAGCTCTTGTATTAGTATTCTCGTTTTGGGATGTTAACCACTACAAGTTATCATCAGAAGTATTTTTGCTTGCCTCCTTTATGAATATAATTGAGAATATTTATTACAAAATGAAGCTTGATACCTCATTTTTGAGGGAAAGAGAAATAAACCTTATTTTTGTTCTTTATGAGGTCATAAAGACGGGGCACCACATTGAAAATAGGATCACCTGCGCCAAAGTCCTCTGTCGTTCACATGTGTAGGTCTTCTGTTACGCTAAGATCACGTAATGTAACCACCAATTCGCCCAACAAGAAGTTTTTATTACGTTACCCAAGCATGGCAACATTTTATTGAAGCATACCGAGACATTATCTCCACCACAGCACCCAGTGCTTCGCGGCTGGTATCAGTCGAAGTGGTGCATTGGAGCATGTATATTAAGCTTGGTGATGACTCTACAACCAGACAGTGTAAACTTTTGCTTATGTCGATGGTTTGCAGACACCTTCTAGATCCTAAAGCACCCGGCACAATTATAACTGGCTGCTCAGTTTTTCTCAGTCATTGGAAATTTCTTGTTACATTAGAATCCCCCCAATTTGTCCAGACTTCTGCACCGGAGGAACACTTTATAATGTTAATATTTTGAAATCTGGTTTTAGCAATGGTGGTCTACGATAGCAAGCACGAGCTAATTCATGGAAACAGACGTGCAGTAGTCTGTGGAACATGCTTGCAGGACAGGCGATGCCCACACATTAGATGCAACAGCATCACTATCGCAATTATTCGCAACAAATAATGGCATTCACAACATTGTGACCTGGTGCTCCAAAATTTGGCAAACATGTTTGGGTGCTTCCCTCTTTCTCTACTTGGGTTTTGGAACTTTTACATCTTGTTACGAAGCCGCGACGCAACACGGTCCCGAAAGCGCCACTGCTCAGAACTCAGCCGACACGGTCACCAGCCGTTTGGTAGCGTGTGTTACTCAGCTCGCGACTGCTTCCGCGCAGAGCAGATAGACGAGCGGACGAGACGACAGTGAGTTAAGGCAAGGTTGATGTACAGCATAGAAACAGAGGCATTACAAGTTTGGCACTGGGGCCGACAGCTTAGGGACTCGAAGAGCCGAGATGTCTTCTCTCCCACGCATCCGTCGGCTTCTCTCTTTGTTACGAAGCGTACCGCCGACGAGGTTACGAAGGACGCCACGAAACTCGCCGCTGCCAAGGACACCACCGGGCGCGCCGACTGCGAAAGGGGCTCCACGCAACGAGAGGCTTCTCTGACACATAGGTCTACAGCTGGCGACGGGACAGGGCTTTTTATATGGGCGCTGGGTGGATCCTTTGAGTCACCAAACGTCCAACCAAAAACGCCGCTGGCCGTGATGTCAGAATCCTCCAATGGGGCCCGCCGCTGGGCCGCGTAATGCTCATCAAATCGGGAGTCGCTGCGCATGGTTGCAGCCAAGGACGAGTGACGCGCCCACGCAATGCGTAAGACTCGCCAGATTGGAAGACGCCGATTGCTTCAACGGGCTCGTGGGCTGAGGTAGCTCGCTGTGCGTTGCGTCACAAACCGGCGCCAATGGATGACGTCAATGGATGACGTCAATGAGTCGATCGTGTCAGGCGGGCTCGCGCGCTGGCCACACACACACAGAAAATCGCGCGCGCGATTTTGAAATATTCTTTGAAGCACGCGACTGTGTATATGTACCTATACGACTCCTCGCTCCCCAGCCTGCTGCCTTATATGACTCGAGCGTGGGATATATGTATTCCAGCATGCTGAAGACATCCTACGTATTGTACAATTTACCACGGGCGGTGCACAGATTGCCTTTGCATAGGCATTGACGTTCGGTGTGGACTCGCAGGCGTGATGATGATGATGTTTGATGTTTTATGGCGCAAGGGCCATTTCACGGCCAAAGAGCGCCAATTCATCTTACTAAAAACATGGACAATGATTGCGATAAGCGGCTGTATAAGGGCCATAAAATTCCTCGCGATAAGGCGGGTAAGAACATACAAGTAATAAAATGATGACCATGCCGTGAAAGATGTGTGTGGTGTGAATGATGACAAAAGTTGGTGATAATAAGACGATGGTGGATATGTATGGCATTAGCACAAGTGCCTCACTCGTTCATACCCTTGCGTCCAAGGGCCGTGAGGCATGTGCTTTCCTGTGTAGCCACCGCAGCAAAAACCTCTCAAGAGAGGTCGTGCTACGGTATGCCCGGGTATATGATATGAAAATTATGAATTTCCTTTAAAAACGCTAATAGTGATTTGTGACTAAAAGTGGTTCCCTACCGACGAACATTGCAGGGTGTAAAGGTATATGTTGTCGGTAGGGTAATGGAAAGTGTTGTTTTCTTACAGTGTCCAATTCTTTGCACTCAATTAAAATGTGAAGAACTGTTAAAGCCTCACCACATTTATCACACAATGGTGGGTCCCCACCGGATAAAAGATGTGTGTGTGTCGTGTATGTGTGCCCTATCCTGAGTCTTGTTAGTGTTACCTCTGTTAGACGTGATTTTGATACTGGTGGCCAATGGCCAAGGTGTGGCTTGATAACGTGTAGTTTGTTTTGTGTGTGTGTATCCCACTTGCTCTGCCAGTAGTTCCTGAGGTTTAGTTTGAGAGACGGCTTAAGATCAAGGGCCGGGATTGATATGGATGTAATGGCGGTCCTCTCATGGACAGATGCAGCGAGCTGATCCGCCCTCACGTTGCCTTGGATCTCACGGTGCCCTGGCACCCAGCACACTACAACATGTTGTTTGTGTGTGTAGAGTGTGCACAAAATGGAGTAAAGTGAGACAAGGACTGGGTATTTTTGTTTTTTAAGACTGTGCAGAGCCGTTACCACACTGAGGGAGTCTGTGTAAATTACTGCTTTTTGTATTTGTAATTGTTTGATGTGTTTAGCTGCCACCAGTATCGCGTAAGCTTCCGCTGTGAAGATACTAGTGCGTGGATGTAGAGGGCCAGCATCCGAAAAGGATGGGCCGACAGCAGCGTAGGACACAGAGGAGTTAGTCTTGGAGGCATCTGTGAAGAACTCAGGACGTGTGTATTTGTGTTGAAGTTCCAGAAAGTGTGTTCGGATATGGGCAATAGGTGCATGTTTTGTAACCTCTAGGAAAGACACATCGCAGTCTATAGTCTGCCACAGCCACGGTGGCGGGTATGCTACAGGAGCCATTAAACTGTGTTCGAGTGACACTCCAGTGTCCTCAGCTAGACCCTTCAGGCGAACTGAGAAGGGCTGCCTCATTGAAGGCCTATTTTGAAAAAGAATGGAGCTCGCCAAGTCATTAATAGTAGAGTATGAGGGGTGCCTCTTGTCTGCTTTCACCTTAAGGAAATATACAAAGGACATGTAGGTTCTTTGCAGATGAAGCGACCACTCATTTGACTCAACGTAAAGGCTCTCTACGGGGCTGGTGCGAAAAGCACCCGTAGAAAGGCGGATGCCCAAATGGTGCACGGGGTCTAGCATTTTCAAGGCACTTTGAGTGGCAGACTGATAGACAACGGCCCCATAATCTAAGCGGGTACGAATAAGGCTTCTATAGAGGTTCATGAGGCATTGCCTATCACTACCCCACGTAGTACGTGACAACACTTTTATAACATTCATGGCTTTTAAACATTTTGTTTTTAAATACTTTATGTGTGGTACGAAGGTCAACTTGTTGTCCAAGATTAAGCCTAGGAATTTATGCTCCGCATTCACAGACAGACGTTGGCCGTTCAGTTCAATGTCGGGTTCTGAGTGCATGCCTCTCTTTCGGGAGAACAAGACACACGTGCTTTTTCCTGGGTTCAGCCGGAATCCGTTTCCTCTGCCCATTTGGAGACCTTGTTTAAACCTAACTGAACCTGCCGTTCACACATTGCTAGGTTGCATGACTTAAAGCCAAGCTGGACGTCATCTACATATGTACAATAGAACATGTTGCGGGGGATTGAACAGGTGCAAGGAATTCATTTTATAATGAAAAGTGTACAACTAAGTACACCACCTTGCGGTACTCCCGTTTCTTGCACAAATGTTTGGGAGAGAGTACTGCCCACACGGACGCGGAATTTCCGATTGGACAAGTAACTCTCGA